TGTTTGCCGTTGCTTGTACCTGCGTTTTACTGGCTTATTTGTTTGCCGTTGCTTGTACCTGCGTTTTACTGGCTTATTTGTTTGCCGTTGCTTGTACCTGCGTTTTACTGGCTTATTTGTTTGCCGTTGCTTGTACCTGCGTTTTACTGGCTTATTTGTTTGCCGTTGCTTGTACCTGCGTTTTACTGGCTTATTTGTTTGCCGTTGCTTGTACCTGCGTTTTACTGGCTTATTTGTTTGCCGTACTCTGCCTCACAGGTAGATGTACTCCGAAGTACTTTTAAGTGTCTGATATTTTTGCGGTCCATATTTTACGTGTTCGACCCGTGGTTCTGTTACCATTTACTCTACTTTTTATAGCAATTTAGAACAACACGGAGTTTGCTCACTTACCTGGCCCATCACTATAACGCAGGAGATAACCACCTGGGATATCGGACTGGTCAGTTTTAACCCTCTGGTGCCTTTAGCAGCAGCATTGAATATCCGGTATATACGTATCGCTTTCACCAGCAGCGGGGCGTACAACAAGTCAAAGGAGAAACAAAACAACCAGTATACAACAGCACACTTATCGTGGGTAGGCGGCGCCACGTACAGAAGCATCGTGATGTACCCCATTCCGATGGCGAATATCTGCAGGAAGCTAAGTTCCCTACTGGCCGCCTTGATAACTTTTGCTTCCCTGTAGTATACGTGTGCTATCATAACCCCAATGGCGGCTATAATTCCGAGGCAGCTGGTACAAGTTTCGAAGATTACAACAGCATCTGTGAACGTTGGATAGTCGGGGATTATATTTCTGCACGTTGTTAAATTTGTTTTCGGCTCCGGCCAGGAAAAGGCTGGACATGCATGGCAAGCAGTTTGGTTGGAAACTATGATTTCGTTTTCCCTGCACATCCTACATTCCCAACAGCAAGGTTGATCTTTCTGAATTTTATATTCTCCAACACCGCACACTCTACTGCAGACGGAGACGGGGATGTTTTTGTCTTCCAGTGGAACTGGAGGGGATGGCAGAATCGCATCCGGAGGAAATGCTTTCTGTAATGGAGCGATGAAGTCCCAGGAGATGGGACCCACCGTGGTCACCGTGTTGTTTCTTGTGTCGATGATCTTCACTGGGACTTGTTTGACTGGATTGCCAGGGAGTATCTGACTGACGACATATTTGCCTCCCATGTTTCCGTGCTCGTCGAACTGCACCTGGCCACTGTAACCTGTGGATAAAATACGAGAAAGGGTGTTATGTTCTAAACCTTTCTGGCTTTTCATATTAAGTAGTGTAAATGGATACATGGAGGTTTAAGAGGTCTCTGCCTATACTGATACTGGCATTTTCCGAAAGTAAGACCTACCAGTGTATGTGGCTTAGGCGCTGCGAACGCGATTCATAATGCCGGGGTCCTGGGTTCGATCACAGCTGCGGACGATTTGTCTTGCGTTGGTTTCGACAGTGGTACCAAGCAGCAATGGCAAACTACTGAAAGTAAAATTTGCTTAGAAAACCAACAACAGCCAAACACATGCTAGGGTTGGTTCTGCAACAACGTGTACAGGATATACGCCACTAACTTTAGACCTACCTCAGAAATAAGGCCAAGTTAAGATAGTGAAATATTTATGGGATAAATCACTGAAAGTTCTGTTACTAATGCACAACGAGCAGGGTATGTGGAAAAGAAGTGCTTATTTAAGGAAAGCTTTATTGCTGGATTGCTTTATTGATCTCTATTCACAACAATAAGAAAGAGACAAACACTGTTCTTTGGCCACGTTATGCGAAGAGAGACACTGGAGAACATCATGACAACTGGAAAGATCAGTGGGAAAAGAGGTAGAGGCAGACCAAGACAGACGATGCTGGATGGGCTGAAACGATGGCATGGAGAGATATTTCCAAGAGAGCTGTTTTAAGCAACCAGGGATCGTGATCTGCGGAAAAGCATAAGCGCCTACGACAGTTGGCAGGGCACATGATGATGATTTATTGCTGGCCATGAGAGACTGGGAGCTAGTGGCTCTATAGCAACAGTTCTCAACCCTTTGGGGGGGGGGTGGGGGGGCGAACGACCCTTTCACAGGAGTCGCCTAAGACCATGAGAAAACACATATTCATTGAAGTTATGAAGTAGTGACGCAAATAATTGTATGTTTGTGGCTCGTCACTACATGAGGAACTCTATTAAAGGGTCGCGGCATTAGGAAGGTTGGAGGGGGTGGGGGAGCACTGTTCTATAGGAAATGGAGTCGCGGGAAATTCAGGCCCTAATTAGGGATTTAGAGAGTTGCGGAAGAAGATGAGATAACTATTTGAAAAACTGTAGAATTGTGGGTGCTTTATTAATATCCTATCCCAAACAGGGGATATCCACAGGTCACGGGACAGTCTAATATTTCAGGGGGTGGTAGATAGGCTGCATGTAGTCGTGGGACCTAGGCTGCATGCAGTCGTTGGACCTAGGCTGCACTCTCTCGTGGGACGTAGGAGGGTTGGGCTTAGGGCCAATTCTATATGTCTGGGGACGTTAAAAGCATCACCCTCTAAATGCTGGACTGCCCTGTGACGTCATCTGTGGTAGGATATTAATAAAGTACCGCATTTTCTACATGAATAAATGCAAAATTTTTTTTAAAGACATGCCCCGAAAATAAGCCATAATGCCATTTTAAAACCAAAAATATCCTCTTCTTCGTCTTCTTGACTTTAACAGCTGTAAACTCCACTGGAAAGTTTTAGTTGTTCGTTCACCTCTTCAACGTGAGTTTTCTTCCAGAACCTGAATGTTGCTTGCACATCCGTTTTACACATTTTTATTTGTATGCAGACTGTTGGTTCCTTGCCTCTCAAAGAGACGAACTGTGACTCAAAGGATTCCCTCCAGTGAGTCGACTCCTACGACATGCTTGTTATGGAGGCAGTGGTTCTGTTCTTGTTTTACCCACAATGGGCACCAGAACTCACACGGGGTGGAAAAAAAAAATATTATGACCCGATCTTATTTTTAGAGAAGCACAGTAACAGAAATGGAATGGTTTGGTCATCTGATGAGAATAACTGAGAAGAAACGGATTACGTTATCACCTACCCATCTCTCTAGACGATGGTTTCACCTGTTGCAATATGGACATTTAAGTATTTCAGCGCCTTGATGACAGCAAACGGACAATGTATATAAAGAAAATGGAACATAGTTAAGCTTAAACAAAAGCACAATTTTGATAGTGAAGGAAATACAAAGAAAGAAATAATGACACGCATTGGCAAGGCATGCGTAGATTTAACAGCCTGCATAAAATTTGGACCTCAAAACTGTGTAGCTTTAAAACCAAGTTACGTCTTTTCAATTCTGATGTGTTTTTTTTTCAGTTGTAACGTATGCTAGTCTTCTACGCTGTAAGCGCTGGTGAAAAGTTCTGGTTGTTGGTCCATTTCTGGACTAGTAGCCCTTTTTCGGAACCTGAGTGTTGCGTGTGCATCCGTTTTACAGACCTGACACATTTGTGTACAGACTGTTGGTTTCCTGCATCTCAGGCAGATGCACTCCGACTTCGAAGGAAGCTCCCAATTAGTCGACTCTTACGACATGCTTTTAGGGAGGTATTTCTATTCTTGTTTTCCCTATAATAGCACTCGAGGCGGACACCATGCCTCGAGACCGCGCAGCCCCCCCCCCAACCCCCCCACCCCCAAGAAAAACACTCAGAAAAGTCCTCCTCTAGACAAAGGAAAATCGGTTAGGAAAGTCAGTTAGAGAAATTACTTGCCGGCAGTCGATATTTTTTGGAAATGTTATGAGAAGAAATTGACTCGATAACTTGGCGACAAATTTCAAGATTGAAGTGAAAAGAGCAAGGGGAAAGACGAAGAGATAAATACACAGATTCCCTTTACATAGTGATATAGCTAGTTAAAGAGCACAGGCGATCTGTGTTTCTGGAGATCGCGTGAGATGACGAAACAGAGTCACTTACGCTTATCGACAGGGCACATGGATGATGAAAGACGACCTGAATGCCATCACCTCAGACTTGGGAGACAAAGCTCAATCTTCAGGCGGATCCAACGTGCTTTAGTAATATCCTACCACAAACAGGAGAAATCCACAGGTCACGGGACATTCTAATATTTCAGGAGGTGTTAGATAGGCTGTATGCAGTCGTAGGACCTATGCTGCACTCTCTTGTGGGACGTAGGTGGTTTGGGGTTAGGGCCAGCTCTAGAGGTTCTGGGGTCGTTAAAAGCATCAGAAAGCCGGGAAACCCAGTCTTACCACCCTCTAAAATGTTGGACTGTCATGTGACGTCATCTGGGGGTAGGATATTATTAAATCACTGGATCCACAATAACTAACCCATCAACCAACCAAACAATCAACCAGCCCCACCAAGAGAACACACGATAATTGCAAAGGGAGATATCTGTGTTTACTCACCGGTGAACGAAACGTTTTTTAGATACGTCAGTAGGATATCTCCTCTGATGCATTCTCGAGCTTCCTTTCCTGTTTCTCCCGGACAGTGATCGTTCAACAAACTCTGAATAGCATGCGCATACACGTAAACAGTGTCAATTGCAGAACTAATCAGAGGCATAGTGTAATAGCTATTAACACTAGCAACATCCTGGGATTCGTCACAAGTTCCAGCACGGAATGAACAGTTAAAATGGCGCTCCCAGAATTCGGAAAACCACGGGTTGCTGGTATTAGAAGGCTTGATTGTTCTAAAATATTCCTCAAATTTTGGGACCGACGGGGCACAGAACAATGTTGTGAATGATCCGTAGATAGCTTCTTTGTAATCGCCTTGTAGCATCATTAACTGTTCTGCCCAGCCATCGCTGCCAACCCAGATAAACATTTTTGACATTTTCATGAGGTGAACAGCTTTAAAAACGCCTACCATATCGTCGCCGTTAAGGAAAGCGATGACCACTCGTGCTCGAGGAAATCTCACGAGCTTGCTTATGCCTGCTGTATAGTTTTTCTCCTCGTTGTCTTCTAGCTCAGCTCGGTCACGTTGGTTTAACCATAGTTATCGGTTTTCATTACAATCCTCCGGTACAAGTTTCGAAAAGCCTAATTATAAAATGATACTGTTTTCCCTTGCTAAAGCCACGTTATATCCACTGAAATTTGTCACTGCCAACACAATGATTCAGTAGCTCTTTGATAGATATTAATTTAACCTGTAGGCAGACAACATCGAACTATGAACTAATATACACTTTTACAGGTGTTCTTTGAAGATGCAAGCGAAATGTCCGAGATCGTGCAGTCGACCTTCCTTGCGGGGACAATAATAATAGTAATGTTTGCAGACAAAATAGCTTGAACAGTTTGCTGTTTTATTCAATTGTTCTTGTTATCTACATTTAGTCTGCTTGAGAATCCATTGTTATGTGGAGAAGATCAACAAAGGCTACCCAATACTCTATCCTCCGTGATATCTCTATAACCTGAAAAGGAAAAAAAAACCAACATAATACGACAGCAGTGCGATAATTAAAGATATACACTGGACAGTGCAGATATAAAGATAGTTGCGTGTCCCTTACAGGACGTCGCAGAACCATCAATCGGCATTTGTTTTGTCTGTTTTTTGATTTCACCAGGCAATTTTACATTCTGTTGACAAATATTGACAACAATAGTCATGAAACCCAACGCTTTAATTGTGGAGTACTTTTCTTAACGCGGGTGGGTCTTGCTAGTCACACTCGCCATCGCCATGGGCTGTGAGTCCAATGCCTCTCCATAGCGTGTTTTAACCCTATCGTCTTGAAAGACGGAAAGGTACCAATCATCACTCTGAGTACAGCGTGGCTAAGAATTAACTACTTTGGATCGGCCATCCTTGCTTGCGAGACAGATAAGTGGGACCAGATTTGGATATTGCAGGGGCTGCGTGGTCTTGAGGTATGTTGTCCGCCTCGAGTGTATGAGGCCTCGGGTTCAAGCCCCAGTGAAGGCTGGGACTTTTTCTGTTCACGTGGACTTCTAGTAATTTCCCCTGATCTCTGGGTAGTGAGATGGGACGCCCGTGTGTATTGTTGCGCACGTTTAAAAAAATCCCTTGGCAGTTGGAAATTGAAAATAGTAGCCAAACGGCTCTGCCCGGGCAAAATTTGTACTTAAAAATCTACCCAAAATATTTTAGGATCCTCGCGGGTGCTACGGAGCCCGTGCACTGCGCTGAGCTACTTTGTACTCAGACTTGAGTTAGAGGTAAAACAGAGCACTTATGTGTTACTACCCGTGTGCCATGATGTTGACCCGTTGTTCAAACCTTCAAACCTTAGATATTAATGAACGCCATTTCAGAAACGAAACAACAATATAGTAAAAAAAGCTTTACGCTTTAACGAGAAAGGGATCAACGTTTTCTAATCCAATGGTTCGGTGTGCAAAAAAAGATGATCTGTCGATTAATTAGTTATCGAACTTGGATAGACACGACTTTTGATAAATACATGGGCTATCCTCCGAACAACGGTCCTAAATTATCCAGGCCGAAAATTCACCCTAACAGGGCCTCAGTCACGTGTCAATTTCGGACTTCTGGCACCGCCAAGAGTATCTCACACGCCGCTACGCGCAGCGGGGAGCGGGGCTAAACTAGATGGCTAAGACACGAGCCAATAAAATGAAGGAAGCTGCAGGAGATGCGGTAGCTGCTGCTCGTGAGTCCAGCTATCTAGTTAAGCCCCACTCCACGCCGCGCGTAGCGTCCGGTGTGATGCTGACCACATCACCCATCTTGCGCTGATTAATCTATAAAAAATATAATCTATAATCTGTCGATTTTTCGGCCATGCTTATTAGGGGACAATGGGTCTATTTCAACCCCCCCCCCCCCCGCCCCCCCACCCCCAATCCTCCAGTTAGGGCCTGGAACATCGGCTGTGAAAAAACTGGGGGTCGGGGAAGGGGTATAAAAAGAGAGTTTTTGACATCAACTGTCACCTGTTCCGCCTTAAAACAAATATAATCGTAAAGGTTACTGAGACAATGCTTATGTATGTAGATTATCAACATCATCGTTGTCCCGTTGTGCCATTATATATCACATAGGGCTCGCACCGCGTTAGCGCAGTCGATAAGATGCTCGCTTTCAAATCCAGCTGCGACTCGCTGCAGCCATGGTCGGTGTTCGAAACCAGGCGGCTCCCGGGGTTCACCGAGCCTCTGGGAAATGGGTACCAGAGTTGACACTCTGTTGTAAATGAAGGAACGTCGCTGTAGCTACAGAGTTACATGCGAACGGCGACACATGCGGACAATTCTTATCAGATGTCCGTACTGGTGGCAGAGCACTTATGGTTTATAACCGTGTGCAATGAGGCTGGTTCACATCTCTCGACTTTACCTCTACCTTTACACAGGGCTTGCAGTACATTCATCCATTATGTCCTGTCATGTGCAATCAGTTCAATATCATGGATGGAATCCAGTCCAGCAACTTTGACCTCTCTCCTCACTGTTTGTTTATCGTCCTCGCTTCCGCAGTCCCTTCATTCCTCATTTCAGTGCCTGTTTGGTTGTTTTTCTGCTCGTTTCCTCTCAGGGTTTGTTCACAATAAGGCATTTTTCGCAACTGTTGTTACTAGTATTTGTCCAGACATTTTTCTTATTTCTTCATCCCTCTGGGACTAATCCAATTTCCTGTTTAGCACTTTCTTCGGGAATTTGTTTTCTAATGCAATTTATCTTCCGTTCTATGTTTATTGTGGTTCTTCAACCGTCAACTGCAGATGTAAAAGCCGTGGGCTTCCTCAGCTCTACCTCTTACACATAATTTATGCGAACTAGATGTTCATTACAGACTCTCTTAATACTTTAAACTTGTGTCATTACACATATAGCATAATAATATATCATCATCCTCAAGTGCCTTGCCAGCTGGCATAGGCGTTCATGCCCCTGTACATATCTCGGTTTTTGGTGTTCTGTCAGTTCCACTGATGATATTCCTTCATGCCAAAGTTTGTGTGTTTTTTTTTAAATTTGATTATTGTAGGGGTGCTAGTGAAGTTTTATGTTTTGGTTTTTTACTTACGAAATCATAACAGCTAGATAAAGATTAAAATTACAAATCCAGTGGTACCTCATTTAAGCCTGTAAGTCGATTCTAAGCAGATATATTACCATTTTAGTCGCGGACACCACGACAGAAAAATTGTAGTGGAAATAAATAAAACATGGCTTCCCGGCTGCGACCCAGTGAGATAAAATGACTCAATGTTTGATTTTACGGCCATAACATTTTTTTGTTTCTGAACGAATCCCTTAGCAACCACATATTGCTGGAAGCGGGACAGTTAGACCTAACTGTATATGCATGTTTTAAAAACATATAATACATTATGCACCCAATTAACATATGAAAATGGCCACCAGCTCACTATTTTCAAGCAAAACATTATACCTGTATGGTTATCCGCCAGCGAGCCTGGCGACATGCATATCAAATTGTGCGTCCCGACAAGGTGAACACAAAGATCATAAAAATATACCAAGGTCGGTCGACGTGATCTAATTAACATATGAAAATGGCCGCCAGCTCACTATTTTCAAGCAAAACATTATACCTGTAAGGTTATCCGCCAGCGAGCCTGGCGACATGCATATCAAACATCCATCTGGCAGGTGGAAGAGTACAACAAGGATCATTGTTATACAGTGTTGTTTTCATATACATATCACTACTTCTCTCTTGTTGTGTAGGAGTCAACACGACAAAAGCCTAGGCATACACTAATAACAGAGACAGCATGGATGATTGATATACCGTGGGATTTTGATGTGATTATACATTCGCCACAGCTTCTCCGGAAAACAACAGCTATTGTAGAAAAAAAATTAAAAAAATTATTATAGTATTCATGGATTCCTGGCTGCGACCCAGTAAGATGAAATGACTCAATGTTTGCATGTTACGGCCATAACTTTTCTGATTCTGAACGAATCCCATGGCAACCATATATTGCTAGAATCGGGACAATTCAAATTGCATTTTCGGAGCGCAGTCGCGTCTGTAGTTACCGACGAAAATGTATAGCAAAATAAACGAAACAAAATGACCCATTGCTATACCTAATTATTGTCTAATGATGCTACTTTTTTTTTTACCTTTTCAAAAAACCTAAATTTTAAAATTATAAGTAAAATATTTAGAAACACATTTAAAGTAAATAAACTACACCATTGCCTCAATCTTTTATTAAGGTTCATGAATCCATCATCTATTTTTCAATGCCTATGTTTGTTTTTGCAATTTTATAACTCTATGTACATGATGTTTTCCCCCAAGATGGCGGCTGTTGCCATGGCAACCATGATTTTTAAAAACTTGAAGTGTTCAAATATATTAACATACATCCCTCCAAACTACTGTTATAAAAGAATTGGTCTGACATTGTAAATAAAAAATCTAAAAAAAAAAAAATGTTTCGTGTAGTGACTTCTTATGTGACCTCTTTTTTTTTTATTTCGTTTCTCTTGATCTGCCTCTGCCTCTTCTAACAGTGATCTTTCCTGTCGTCACGATATTTTCCAGTGCTCCTTTTCTCATCACATGACCGAAGAATTGTGTTTCTCTCCCTCTCATTGTTGTATTTAATGTTCTACTTTTTAAAAAAGACATTTCTAGACAATCATTATTAGATATTAGCAACATTCTCCTCAAAAACCACATCTCTGCTGCCTTCAGAATCTTCTTAATTTGTTTGCTCACATTCAAAGACTCACTGCCATACAACAGAACAGGCTCGATATTACACTTCAGTACTCGTTTTCTGATGTTTAAAAAAATTGATTTATTACAAAAGATATTTTCTTCTGAAATGCGGCCTTTCCCTGGCCAAGTCTGCTGCATTGCTGCACATAAATACACGAATCACAGTA